CGTCTCTGATGGCCAGAGGCCAGAGGCCAGAGGCCAGGCCGTCTGATGGCCAGAGGAGCCTGCAAACCTAATCTCCAGGTTGCTATTACGCGTGCGCGGCACGTACGTAGCCAGGATTCGTCTGTATTTGCATTTCATCGAAGAATGAACGTAATGCATAGAACGCAATCTGACCATGCGCGTTGAGAACTTCTGTTACTTGTATCTGATCACGAACGTTTTGATCTTCCATCACGTTAAACGTACGCAAAACACAGCGATGAGCCTAATGCGTTTGAACCTTTGATCGATCTCGCACAAACTCCCTAACGTTTGGTTATTACTAGCTTTAGTAATAAATTAAAAGGGCATGTAAAATAGTACGTCTGCTGTCTGCAATTAGGGAATTTACGCAGCAGGACGGGAGAGGCAAGAAGACGGCAAACCTTATGTGAAAACCGTGACAAGAATTGCGTTTGAAAAAACTTTTCGTCAAACTTCACCCTCCTCTTAACAGATTGTTTTTAAAACACCAGAAACATTCATGTTAAGTGAAGATGACGACAAAACATGCAAGTAATGGCTCGGTCACGTTTGTCATACACAAGCGTTTTTCCGTCCCCTTCTTTCTGTCGTCCTGTTACGTGAACTCACCATTGAATTAAAGTTCCCGACAAATAAAAGCTTACAGCAGTGGGTTTCTTTTACATTTCAGCCTACAACCCAAAGAGCAGTGAGTACGTCAGGAAGAAGTACAAACAGAAACTAATGAGATTTGAAGAGTAGTGCGAGTTGATTGGCTACCTTGGTAAAGAGATGACCAGTCGTTATCGAGAGCCAGAGGATCTCCCTATTGATTTTGAGCATAAGTTGTCAACATTTCTGGCACTCAAAGACATAGAGCCCATAACCACGTGGTGTGCGTGACACTTCACTATCAGACCGTGACCGTTTTGCGTGACCTAGATTACAGATTATTTATTTTTAATAAAGGGAGAAAACACTGTGCATACTTTTTAATTTTTTACGGCAGTAACATGTCGGCAATCAACGATGTTGTATAATGGATATGTAAATAATCTGCAAGAAAATAATAATGGTAAATAAATTTGTTTGACCTCAAATGCAATATTTTCCAGTTTTGTTTAGTTTTTGGAGCATATCTTCTTTTTAGCTTACTGCCTTTAACCCCGTCATTTCTATTTCGAACGCTATAGGAGTAATTTTACAAAGTTATCCGGAAAACAACTCGAAACTCTCGAGACAACTTCGATTTCTTTCTGATAGGTTATAGATATGAGCAAATAAAAGGCGGTAGTGCCTTTTTTAATGATGTATGTTGTTGGTTTGTTTGTTTTTTGGCACACCTAAGTTTTAAACCGATGATCTCTTTCCAACGGAATTCCTACCCTCACCAATTTACTCTACGCCGTGACTGTTCACAGTTAAGTATATAGCGTCCCCTGCCATCATGGCCAATTTTTTATTTCTGTTTGTCTCTCTGGTACAGTACAGTACAGTTTAATCCTCCAATCAGTAATCTTGTTCATGGAGTTGCACTGACGACTGACTACACGGTCAAGCTATGCAGCGACACAACCCGGATCTTGCGTACACTTCTTTGCCTGTTCAATAGAGACGTTTAATATTTTTGCGATAATTAACTAAGGGTCCCGTCGGTATGGACGCTTCGACTTCGGGACGGAAGACATGATACCTGTATTTGTCAGATCACGTGCGAAAAAGCCAGAATCTGGCGTTTTTTTTTTTCTGTTTTTTCCAGAAGCAATACACATGATACAGCTGTTGTCCACCAAAGGTAAATATAGAGTAGGCACTGTTTTCTTTTGTCCTAGTGAAATTGTTTTCACCGTTTAAGAATTACGATCCCAAAATCCATACTCTGTTCTGCAGCACATCCATGCAGTTAGACCAAATACAAAAGTGATCCCGCCCCCTGGCGCCCTTTAAACATTGATAGATTGCTTTCTCAGACTAACTAACAATTATTCCTCGAGCCCGAATGGGTTCTGAGTCAATAGCCCATGGGGCCAAAGGCCGAATGGGCTATTGACTCAGAGGAGGCCTACTCTGGGACCTAAATATAAAGTCGCCTAAAGTTGCCCAAAGTCGCCTGAAGTCGCCTAAAATTGCCTTAAGTCGCCTAAAGTTGCCTTAGGTCGCCTTTAGTTGCCTTAAGTCACTAAATCATTCAAATCTTAACGAGGTTCAAATTGTCTTGTAGTTATTACTTTTTTAGTTTTCTATTTCCAGAATGCATGATTTCTCATAAAGTGTGTAATAACCCGTGTTCAATAATATTAGCCACAGACCCACCCCACCCTCCACAAAAAAACTTCCATGGTGACTTAAGACCCATTAATTTCTTCTCCAGCCCTCTAATTTATACATTTAATTACTTTACACAATTTACTACACGTAATAATTAGTCGTAAGCAATACAAGAATAATCATAATTCCTGTATTGTTTATGCAAAAATGACAACA